GTAACGAATTGAGTTGGTTTATTAAATATTGAATTTTATAATTTTATTTAGCTTCGTATTTGAAAGAACCCTTTTTTAGGAATAAAATTCGATTAAAAATAAAGTTCGATTTAGTTATGTTTTTCTGAAATAAAAATGTACACTGTTAGGGGTTTGATATTTAATTGTGGTTATTGGATCATGAAAATTGTTAGCTCGGTTTGGTATATTGAGATTGGTTCAATGATAAATGTTTGTAACTTAAGTAGCTTTTAGAAATATATATTGAACTGAAAACAATACTTATAAAATTTCAGTTTGATAAATGATTGATTGATTTGCTCATGTTTTCATGGATTTTCATGAACCCCATCGATGAAAAACAACATCTTGTTTTTGGTCTTGCAACGGGGAAAAATTGCCCCCCATATTATTGTTTCGGGCAAATTTAACACGTTCGGATAAATAGAACAACGGAACGATAGAAGATAATCTTTCTTTATTGATGAGTGATCTTAGAACAACAAACTCAAAGCTACAATAAATTGAAAGCGTGAGACTGTTGTTCAAGGAGATCTTCGGAGCTGTAGACGTCCGATTTGCTGGAATCAGAGCTCTGCTGTAGTCTCGTTGCTTATTCGTAGAAGTGGCGAAAATATTTTATCTAGGGTTTTTAGCTGTTTTCGCCCCTCTCTTCTGCTTTCGGAGCACTGCCTTCTATAGAGATGCCCTTAACCCTAACTGTTTTAGGATTGGGTTGGTATGTCGGTTGGAGCTTATCTCTTAGAGATTTGGGCTTATCCTCAGTTGAAGGGCCCATATCCCGTAGGATTCGGAGCTCGCCCATCCCGTGGGATCCGGACGTCATATATTATGTAGAATTCGAAGCTACATCATTCGCACATGTGCCATTCGGACATATGTCCTTTTGGACCTAAGTCATAGTTGACTTTTTATAATGGGTCAAACTAATGTATTAATTTTTCCCAACAATTATTAAATTTTAAAAGAAAACCAGATTACAATCGGGATGAAAAACAACATCATCATTTGATGTCCGTGGGCCAATTTAATTTATACACCATTTGCGGAGAATTTGTTATACAAAAATTATTTTATTTGTCATTTACCGTATTTAATAAAAAAAAAAAATCTCCAACAAATACTAATATGAATTATTTAATAAATACTTGATTTTTTTTCTTTTTGTTTGATTTTAATATATTTAATTAATTCAAGTGGTATCCATGTCATCATTTTTTCCAACCATGTCATCATTTAGAACCAACCAAATTAAAACACGTAAGCTAAGTTAATAAATCTACTTATCTTTTAATAAGAAGGAGATTTAATTCGGTTCTTTCCAAACCTATTTAATTGAAGTTAAAAATGATTTGTATTAATTTTTGGGTTCATTTCTGTAAACTACACAAACTTTTAATCAGTATCCACCCGAACTTACTAATGAACAAGACCAATTGGTTTTTGAGTTGAAATAGATAATGAATTGGTTTAAATTTATGATTATATCAGATTAAGTGCCTATTTATAAGCCAGAGTTGTTTATGTTCCGACATTAGTTTTTTTTTAATGCTTTTCAGTTCAGAATCCAGTGATTAAGAAAATATGTATCTGACGACCAGATTTTGGGGCTGCTTTTAGAAGGCTATGTAAAGCAGATTTCATCTGTGTTTGGTTGTGCTTTAACTATCTCCTTGGCTTCATCGAAACATGCGTTTTGCCCCCTAAACGAGCTCTCGTATGAATCCATCATAGAGGCAGAAGCAGCAGTTGCATCCTTGAAGGCAAACCAACTTGATGGAGCAAGGGTCGTCAAGGCTTTCGAGTGGCTCAAATCGATAAAGAATGACCAAGGAAAGATTGAAAACCTAAAGAACACGTCAGCAGAGTTTAGAGCAGCATATTGGAGGGTTCAAGAAGAGTTGGATGGTCTAAAAGTTGGACACAAGGGACAATCTTCAACTACATATCTGAACTTTAATATGTGCTACTTGTAGTTTAAAAACTTTTAAATACTCAAATGTTTAAAAACTGTCTCTACTAGGCTTGAGATTTTGGGTAAATCGAACCGAATCGATCAATTTTTTTGGTTTTTGGTTAGTTGAGTTGTATAAAAATTTATCGAAATTAATTTTGGTTCCATTATAAGTTAATTCATATAATTTTGTTTTTATCGAAACTCACTTAAATAAATGAAATGATGTTAAAATTCGGTTAAAATCACGTAAAATCGGATAGTTTTCGATTAATTTCAGGTATATTCGGGTAGTTCAGTTTGGAACTTTT